AAAAAAAAAACTAAAACAACTCACAGGTAAGGCCTTTCCAGTTTGCAATCTCACTGCTGCTGAACTTACAGCTGCTGGTGGGATTAGACTGAACGAACACACGCAACCACGTGCCAGTTCTCCATTGCTTTTGTTCTCCTCGTGGGACCCAGAAGTCTGTTGCTGACTCCCTATGTCCTCAAAAGGATGTTTCTAGGCAGATCTCACCAGTCAGAGATGCCTGGAGTTTTCCTTCCCCAGTCTCACTGTGCCCAGTTGCAAGGAAGCTGTTACTCAGCTGCCATCTTGATCCTTCTTTCCCCTTGAGTTCATCTTACCTCTCAGCTCCCAAGGGCCTGATAACCCTGCCCTTGCTCTCCCCCTCCCTCATTTCCTCACACTTTTGGGGGCAGAAACTCCCTGAAAGCCACACTGTCAGAGAGTTGAGCTGAATTAGCTCTTCTGTTTCCATAGGCATCCCTAAGAGAACAGATGGTCCCTCTCAGGGCCCTGGAGAGGGATTTTCCTCTTGAGGTTGAGAGAAGGAAAGTGACTTGGTCAGAATCAGAGAGTGGTGGCCAGATTACAGCTTCTCCCTGCATCCCTAGCCTCCTACACAGAGGGGAAACCCACCCCTTCCCACCTGCACTGTGCACTAGCCTGTGGGCATGCTGATCCTTTCAATGCTGCCCTGGTTTTGTCCCCATAGGAGGGCTCCCCGAGGACTTTCTGAACTCCCTGGAGAAGATAGAGGATGACAAGCTGAAAGTCACTCTCAAATACCCCCATTACTTCCCCCTCCTGAAGAAGTGCCACGTGCCTGAGACCCGGCGGAAGGTGGAGGAGGCCTTCAACTGCCGCTGCAAGGAGGTGCGCTGGCTCTGCCGGGACCCATGGGCCCAGGTTTCCCGCCTCATGGGCACATAAACCACCTCTGGGCTTTGCCTACAGAGGGTCTTGTAGCCTTGCCTGCCTAAGTTCAGGGACTAGCAGAAGTCTCCCATGCAGGGCTTGGCCTGCCCTGGGAGGAGACTGTGTGGGCCTGCCCTTGCTCCTGGGGCTACTGTGTGTGATCTGGTCTCTCCTTACTCTGCTCTGTTAGTGTCTGCTCCTGAGCACATCTCCTTTGCTCTTCTCAAGCCGTCCTCACATGCCTTATCCCAGGTTGTTCTTTTCTCAAAGTACCCAGACCTGAGCCTGGTCCCGACTTCCCCCTGGGACCTCAGCCTCAGATGGCCACTTCCACACAGACACATGTAGCCCCCCTCTATTCCCCACTGTTTGGCCAGGTCACCTTGGTCTGCATTTCCCCTGTCTAGCATGTAGGACAGGTGGGGGCATGAGGCTCAGACCCCTGGTTTTCCTCAGGGCACCACGTGATGTTCACACAGTAGGCAAAGGAGCTGCTGGCCAGAGATCTGAGCTGTCCTTTGCCTGCCATGCAGGGACGTGAAATGGCTATGGCACCATAGGTGCAGGTAGTGAAGGCATGTGTATTCTATTTCTGTGGCTACAGCAGACCACCTCGGTGCTATGGTAACCCGGGGTTCCAGGGGAAGCCCCTACTACAGGACCTGTAGGTTGGCCCTAGAGATAACCTTGTTCCCCAGGTGGAGCCATACCTTGTCCTACAAGGTCTAAGACAGATGCACATTCTGGCCCCTGTGCTATAGCAAGAATTTGTGATGCTGGAAGCCTCTAGTAGACAGACCTGTGGGCTGATCAGGGCCCTGCAGGAGTCGGCCTGAATCCCACCCCAGACCCCAGGCCGAAAGGACATGGTGCCTGGAGAGAGTGCCTGAAGATGGTACTACCCATGCCCTCCCATGGCTCTTTGTACACCTGCCTGGTTCCAATGGATTCCTGTGGGCCCCTCATGCTGAGGGCATGTCTATCCTGAATGGGCTGCTGCAAGGAACAAGTTTCTCCTGGTGAACAAGTCAGATTGGTTTTGTGCATCCATCAGCCCTGTACCCCTAGCTTGACCTGCATTTCATGTGGAGTGGGCAGAGCCTCTGGGGACCAGGTACTAGACCATGGGGCATCCCTAAGTGTAGCAGTAATGCCCCTACCCCTGTGCCCCTTTTTATTTGGGGATTTGGAACCATTTAAGCCTCATACCCTCTCTGGTTCTGAAAAGAACTTGGCCTTGTATAAGGACCCATGTGGGTGTGGCTGGACAGGGTATATAGAGGCCTGGCCAGAAGGGGTAGGAGGTCAAGTGATAGCGGTGCTGCCATTTGCAGGAGAACTGTGCCATCCTCAAGGAGCTGGTGACCCTGCGGGCCCAGAAGTCCAGCCTGTTAGGTTTCAGCACACACGCAGACTATGTCCTGGAGATGAACATGGCCAAGACTAGCCAAGCCGTGGCCACATTTCTAGGTAAGCCTCCTGCTCCCTCTGCTTGCCTCTACTGGGGGCCCTGTAAAGAGGACTGTGCTTGACTGTGATAGGGTGTCACGTCTGGGAACCTTATTCTTTTCATCTGTGGGACTTCGGGGCCCTTCTCTGACTCCTAGTCTTATCTACAGGACTCCCAATATAACATGAAGCCTCCAGGCAGAGCCTGAGCCTGGCACCCAATCCTGTTGCCCCCATCCCAAGGCTCCAGCCTCTCTGGGTTACCAAGAGGTGCTATCAGTACCTGCTGCAGCATTGGGGTCAGTGAGAGGCCTCCATGGCTCCGGCCTTCTTTCTGGGGTGCATGTATGAGAGCCTATTACAGCAAGGTCCCTCTAATTTTCTGCCATCCCTGCAGACGAGCTGGCACAGAAGCTGAAGCCACTGGGGGAGCAGGAGCGCGCCGTGATCCTGGAGCTGAAGAAGGCTGAGTGTGAGCGGCGAGGCCTGCCTTTTGACGGGCACATCCACGCCTGGGACATGCGCTACTACATGAACCAGGTGGAGGAGACACGCTACCGTGTGGACCAGAACCTGCTTAAGGAGTACTTCCCCATGCAGGTGGTCACCCAGGGGCTGCTGGGCATCTACCAGGAGCTCCTGGGGCTGACCTTCGACCTGGAGGAGGGTGCTAGCGTATGGCACGAGGATGTGAGGCTGTATGCTGTGCGGGATGCAACCTCAGGGGAGGTGATCGGCAAGTTCTACCTGGACCTCTATCCGCGGTGGGTGTGGGCAGGGCCCGGGTAGGGGAGGGATGCACTCTGGCCCCCAGGTCTTCTCTCTGCCTGGCTTTGCCCTTCGTGAACAGGAAGGAGGTCTGCTACACTCTGTATAGCCTTGGTGATGAGCCATGATGCACAGGGCCTACACTGTAGGCACTAGATATGTAGTGGCCACTGTTAGTTCACTTTGTGGCTCAGCCACACTGATAGGGAAATAGCTCTATTGAGGCCAAAGTCCCTGGGGACCCCAGGGGCAGGAGTGTGACCTGGTCTGTGGCTCTCAGGCTGCCCTGCAGAGGCAGACATCTCAGGACGCTCTACCCAAGGAGTGGGGGCCACAGGGCAGCACTGGTGGTCTCTCAGACCCCAGCCTTGGGTGCTTCTATGCTGGGAGGGAGGTTTAGCAACTTGAATGTCTCAGTTTTCAGGTAGGCTAAGGGCTGTGGCATAGGGACCTTCCTTCTTGGGCCTGACCTCACCTCCCTCTCCAGGGAAGGGAAGTATGGGCATGCAGCCTGCTTTGGCCTGCAGCCCGGCTGCCTACGGCAAGACGGGAGCCGCCAGATTGCCATTGCAGCCATGGTAGCCAACTTCACCAAGCCCACCCCAGATACCCCGTCCCTGCTGCAACACGACGAGGTAGAGACCTACTTCCACGAGTTTGGGCACGTGATGCACCAGCTCTGCTCTCAGGTAGGTGCCAGCCACAGGTCTACCAGGACCAGGGAGGGGAGTAGGTGAGACCTCACTGGCTACCTGGTGAGAGGAGTTGGGTGGAGTTGGGTGACTGGGTCTGCCTGTGCTTTCTTCATCTGATATAGAGATGGTGATGCCCTCTGTTGAGGCCAAAGACAAGCCTTAGCCCAGGTTTCCTGGGCCCCAACCTCATGTCCCTGTCCCAGGATCTGAGCTGTGCATGTGAACTTGCTATCACCCTCTCACCTCTCAGCCTTCATATCACTGCCCTTGGATTGCCATAGGAAAACACCATAGGCTGGGGGACTTAAATAATGGGCATTATATCCTTGCAGTCCTGGGGGCTTGGAAGCCTGAAGTCAAGGTACTAGCAGGGCTGTTCCTCCTGGGCCCTCTCTCCTTGGCTTGTAAACGCCCCTTCTCGCTCTGTTCCTCTGTCCTAATCTCTTTGTATAAGGACCCCAGTGGTTGTTTCTCTGTTCCTCTGTCCTAATCTCTTGGTATAAGGACCCCAGTAATACTAGATCTGGAACCTAATCTATGACGTTTTTAATAACCTTGTCTCTAAATACAGTCACTTCCTGAGATACTGGGGTGCAAGGCTGCAGTGTCAGAATTTCAGGGGGCCCACCTTAGCCCATATTACCTGTCAGAACCTGTGGGAGCAGTATGTGTCATTTGCTGGGGACAGTGCTTGGTGCAGAGGGGCTCTGCTCCTTGTTAGCAGCAGTCAAGCCATGTGGCTCAGTCAAGCCAGTGAACACAGCCCAAGAAAGTCACAGTGTTGTTCCTTAGTGGAAAGCCAGATAGTCTAAGCAACTTAACCCGCAGGAGCCTATTACTGGCCAAGACAAACCTCAGCCCAGGTTTCCCAGGCCCCAACCTCACGGCCATGTCCAAGATCCCAGCTGCGCATGTGAACTCACTCTCAGTCTCTTGCTGGCACTCAGGGCACCCATTTTGCCCATCATGAGAACATTCTTAGAGCTTAACTGGGAGTGTGCAGGACTTGGTGCTCATTGATCTTTAGTGAATTTATGAACTGTGCAACTGTCACCACAGTCCAGCTTCAGAATGTTTCTATCACCCTGAAAAGATCTTTTATGTTCCATCAGCAGTCACTCCCCTCCCAAGCCCCCAGCAGCCCCTGATCTGCTTTCTGTCTCTACGCCTATTCTGTACATTTCAATGCCTACAAGCACAAGTAGTATCAAGCCCTACGTAACTACATTCTTCTAAAACTTGCAGATCTGCAATAAAGTTTAATTTATAATCCGTAATGATAAGTAATAATTGTTATTATCATATATATTATATATAATATGTGGATTATTACATATATTATGGGGCCATTATAAGAATATGCTAGAAAACAAGTTATATGAATGTGGGCGCTCTCTCAAAATACCCTGATGTCCCACACTTGCCTTTCTTGTGATCTGTGTATGTGAAAACTGAGGTGGCTATTTAGTGACTAATGGCTGCATAGTGTCTACAGTGAGGAGGTGTTTCATGTCCCAGGTGTGACCATAGGACAGTATAGGAGGGCATCACACTACTCAGACTGGTGCTCAATTAAAAACTTATCAATTGTTTATCTCTCAGGTTTTTTCATTTAATACTTTCAGACCATGGGTAATCAAAACCACAGCTATGGAGGCCTGTTATAAACAGAGTCACACTGTGTGTCCTTCTGTGTTTGCTTCTCTCACTGAGCACCATGTGCTCTAAGTCCATCCATTTTGTGGCCTGTGTCTGAGCCTCCTTCCTTTTCATGGCTGAGTCCCCGATGTGGATTCAAGTGTCCTTTGACGAACAGAGGTTTTTTTTTTTTTTTTTTGAGACAGAGCCTCAAGCTGAGCCCCTGGGTAGAGTGCCATGGCTTCACTGCTCACAGCAACCTCCAACTCCTGGGCTCAAGCAAGTCTCCTGCCTCAGCCTCCCAAGTAGTTGGGACCACAGGCGCCCGCCACAACGCCCGGCTATTTTTTGGTTGCAGCCGTCATTGTTGTTTGGCGGGTCCAGGCTGGACTCGAACCTGCCACCTTAGGTGTATGTGGCTGGCACCCCAACTGCTTGAGCCACAGGCGCCGAGCCTGAACAGAGGTTTTTAACTTAGATGAAGTTCAGTCCATTAACTTTTATCTTTTACAGTTTGTGCTGTTTTGTATCCTGTTGAAGAAATTGTTTTTTAATCTGAGGCATTAAGATTTTATCTTTATTCATTCATTCATTCTTTCATTTATTGGAGACAGAGTCTAAAGCTGTCACCCTGGGTAGAGTGCAATGGCGTCATCATAGCTCACAGCAACCTCTAACTCTTGGGCTCAAGCAATCCTCTTGCCTCAGTTTTGCTATTTTTAGTATAGATGAGGTCTCACTCTTGCTCAGGCTGGTCCCTAACTCGTGAGCTCAAGCAATCTACCCACCTCCGCCTTACAGAGTGCTGGCATGAGATTACAGGCACAAGCCACTCACTGCTCCCACCCTGCCTGAATTTTTTGCCACAAGTTTGATAGTTTCCTCTTCATTGTGGTCTGTCCGGTGTTGTGAATTAATTGTTGTCTGTGGTGTGAAGTGGGGTCGAAGTCTGTCCAGGCTGAGGCAGATTGAACAGAGGTGTGTGAACAGGAGGGCTGTGGTGAGGCCAAGAGGTGGGTGGAGAGACTGGGTAATGAGGGATTAAGGTGGTTTATTTTGGGAGTATGTGGGAGAGGGAGTCCAGGGTGTCACCCACTTTTGGTTGAGTGTTGGGGTGGCAAGTACAGTCTTTAGGGAGAGAGGGATTTCTGTAGGAGCCAGGGGAGAAAGGTGCTGGTGCCCTCTGGGACCTGTCCTATTGTCTGTGTCTGACTCTCCATGGGGATTCACATCACAGGAAACCAAGGAGGACAGTAGCACTGGGGTAGCTGGGAAAGTAGGGTCTGCAGAGATAGCAGGAAACAGATGGCCCTAGCTCTGCATGTCACAGAGTCAGGACAGGAAGGGACCAGGTGGCAGAGATGGGATGTCCATGGCATGTGTTGGACATGGTGGCGCCAGCCCTCTTTTGCTCCCACCCCCCCCCCGCTGCCATCTTCCCAGGTTGCCCTCCTGCCTGTGCTCAGTCTCAGAGGACCTGAGGCAAGGCTCCTTGATGCCACTTGCAATCCTAATTCCTCATGCACCCATTCACAATGTCCCCTCAGCATTTCCCAGCTTCCCCTGTGCAATCTCCTCATCCTGATGACTTGTGCACCCATTCATGATGTCCCTTCAGCACTGCCACTTCCCATCCACTTCCCATCCGCAGTCTGCTCACAGTCTTTGTGCTTATTTCCCATATCTGGAAGACTTTGCTGCTGGCAGCCCTCAAGGCTCACTCTCTCAATTCCTTTCCATCTTTGCCTTGACATCTTGCTAGAAAGAGTCTTTCCCAAAGCGCACAGTCCATTGTCGTCATCCTAGATTGTTCTATCCTGTGAAGTCTTCACAGACATTGGGAAGGGTGTCCTGAGCTGTGGTTCCCGAGGGAACATCCTGGGGTAGGTTCCTATGGGCTTCTGGTCATGTTTTCATCAACTCATCTATATGGGACCTTCTGTGTATGTTTCTATTTAAAGATCCCACGAGATTCATTAAGAATCTCTGATTTATTAAGATTGAACATAGCAGCTAGCTGCCCTGTCTCTGGGGCCCAAGTTCAGCTTCCTTAATACATGGTTTCCTCTGTGAGGCTACTCATGCCCAAGGATACTAGTAGACACCTCAGTACCACCCATGGGAGTGTTCTAAACAGCCCAAATCACCAATAAGCACAAAAATGCAAAAGATGTCACTCTCATTAGAATGAGAAGAGGACCCTTGTCCACAGTCTGAGCTAAGAGAAGGTAGACCCTTGTCTCTGAGAAAGTGCTGAGTGTGAACATGAACTTTACTGAGTATGTGAATCCAGGAATGAGAGCCTATGCATCCTTCCCGGCTTCCTGCCATACTCTGGGTCCACGGTGCTTACCCTTGGCATACACGCCTGTGCATACACACATACACACATGCACATGCAGGGTCCCCTATACCTGGGACAAGTCCCTCCGTATCCAGCACAAGTCCCTTCATGCACACTTGCTGGCAGGACAAGGAACATGATTGCATGTTCCTTGGAGTTGGGGAGCCTCTGTGCTGTCAAAATGACCTTTCAAGGTCTCTCAGGAAGCCATTTGGCCTGTTGGCCTCCAAGTGTGGCTCTGGCTGGACTGGGCCAAGGGCTAGGCCTCAAAGGGAAGATTCTAGGCCCAGACATAGTGTACCTTCTGTCGCCTGGTACCCAGGATCACTCAGACCCAGTTGTTCCCAGGCCCCTTCCACATTAGCACCTCTGTTTCTCTGGGGCACAGAGCTTTTGGGGAGCTCCATGAACGAGGAGTGTGGGTGACCACTGGGACAGCTGGATGTGGTGGGCATCTTTGGGCATGTCCTGGGACAGGTCGGCCAACAGCAGCCCAGGGGTCTTACCTGTCCTTATCATTTTCAGGCTTTGCAGTTGGGGGAGAGGCAGTTACCTGCCTGTGTAGGTGTGCTAGGGAGGGTGGCCCAGGTAAGGCCCTAGGGAACTGGCTGGGCAGGGTCTGGGCATTGGTGCGGCTCTTTGCCCTGTGCCTGCAGGCAGAGTTTGCCATGTTCAGCGGAACACATGTGGAGCGAGACTTCGTGGAGGCGCCTTCACAGATGCTGGAGAACTGGGTGTGGGAGGAGGAACCACTGCTCCGGATGTCACGGCACTATCGAACAGGTGGCACCGTGCCTCAGGCACTCCTGGAGAAGCTCATTGCATCCCGGCAGGCCAACACAGGTGCGGCCATCCCACCTGCCGCAGGACAAGGGCCCTGTCACAGAAGTGTGCCTGGAAGTGTTGGGATGCCCACCCCAAAACCCAGAGGACAGCTCCTGCCCCTCTTCCTCCAGGTCTCTTCAATCTGCGCCAGATCGTCCTTGCCAAGGTGGACCAGGCCCTGCACACGCAGACGGGTGCAGACCCAGCAGAGGAGTATGCCCGGCTCTGTAGGGACGTCCTCGGGGTCCCTGCAACACCAGGTAGCTGGCCTGAGCTAGGGAACCCAGAGCAAGTCCATGCTCGTGTTTTACTTGGTGCGTGCAGGGGTCCCTGCTGAGGGCTTCTCAGGGAGGCCACAGGAGGGCAGCCCTAAGACAGGCTGCTGGCTGTGGGGAGCATAGGTGTGGGTCCTGGTACTCCAGGAGAAATGCGTTCTGGGGAGCCTTTGCTTTAAATAAATCAACAAAAGAAGCTAGTTTTTTCTTGATCCAAAATTACAATATGTGCTTTGTAGAAAGCTTGGAAAGGTTCAGAAAAGACTAGTAATTCTAGATCCTGAAAGGGATGAGTTAATGACATCTTTTATTTGTAATGTGTGTGTGAATATGCAGCTATGCGAGGAGAACTGGAATTTTAACGAATCTTATTGGTTTAATATTTCACGAGCACTTAAATCTTTCACAAAGTGTTTTAAGTGGTACATGATATTGCATCATATCAGTGTGCCTTGATATATTTAGACAGTCTCCTAATGGCAAATGTGTTGAGGGTTTGGGGGATAGAGTCTCACTCTGTTGCCCTGGGTAGAGTGCTGTGGCATCATCATAGCTCAGCAACCTCAAAGTCTTGGGCTGAAGCGATCCTTTTGCCTCAACCTCCCAAGGAGCTGGGCCTACACAATGCCTAGCTAGTTTTTCTATTTTTAGTAGAGACAGTCTCTCTCTTGCTCAGGCTGTTCTCAAACTTCCAAGCTAAAGCAACCCTTCCAGCTTGGTCTCCCAAGAGTGCTAGGATTATACAGGCATGAGCTACCATGCCTGGCCCTAATGGTGAGTGTTAGTGCTGTAGCTGCTGATGTCACTCGTGACCATGCTCTTGTCCTCTGCAGTAGCAGGTGCAGATATGTCCCACAACCTTGTTTTAGCTTTATGTCCCAGACTAGGGCAGGGGTGGGTCTCTGGTGTGGCTGCTTTGATGTCCTATTCCTGAGGGAAGAGTGGGGGTGGGGGCCTTCAGCACCAACCTCGCTGTGTGTCTGTCCCAGGGACCAACATGCCTGCAACCTTTGGCCACCTGGCAGGCGGCTATGATGCCCAGTACTACGGCTACCTGTGGAGTGAGGTGTACTCCATGGACATGTTTCACACACGCTTCAAGCAGGAGGGCGTCCTGAACAGCAAGGTGAGGAGGGGAGGCCAAGGACTCATGGCCTTGTGCCAGCTACTGAAAATTGAGAGATGCTCCCACTGTCTAGGACTAGGAACAACAGGTCTCGGGTGCAAGTGTGCCAAGGTGCATGCTGGTCTCCCAGATGCTGCTGGAAGCTCTGCACCAGACCCTTTGGGGCTGGGGGGTGTGGTGGTTCGGAGAGCCCTAGGCTCTCAAGAGTACTCAGACCCTTCTTTGGGGAAGTAGTTTTGGCCTTTTGGCATTTCTTCATTTCTGTGATCCTCAGTTTGCTCACCTGTAAAATGGGAATATTAATGCCCACCACAAGCTTATGCCTCTTACTGGCCTGGTGTGTTCTCAGCCTTGGGGGCAGCTGCTGGATTCTGTCACAGAGCTAGATGGGTCCTAGCTGCACCAGGAGCCTGCCCTACCCTGGGTGTCTCTAGGGGGTCTTGGAGCATTGCCCCAGGTAGCCTGCTCTTGGATAACCCCCCTGTAGCTGTGAGAACGCTATATTCTGGAGATGTGAGGGTTTGAAAAGTTCACTGCCTCCTGACCCCTCTGAGACCCCCTGGCTTTGGCAGGCCCCTGATCACAGTTGGGAGCCATCTATTTCCTGCGCCATTCTCTGGCTGCTGCCTTTGCACCAGAGGGCTACCTCAGAGGACAGGACAGCTCTTGTACCCACTAAATTAGCTGCAAGGGGATTGGAGAAGTGGAGAGAGCCCCCAGGGGCCACCTGGCTTTGGAGCCTTTAGTCAATGTAGGGTCCAGTGAGGCTTAAGGGTATCTTGAGCTCCTTTGTGGCTAGGGCTATGCTGGGTCCCCAGACTCTATGCAGCCCATGCTGGCCATCTCCCCATCCTGTCTATGCTGTGCCCAAACTATGCACAGTGCCTTCAGTGGGCCACCACCTGCCCCAAGTCCCACCACCACTGCAGAGAAGAGGCAGGATGGAACCCAGGTTTTTGAGGCCCAGAGCATCTCCCACCTCTGTCTGGCCACCACTTCTGTTCTTGACTCAGCCTGGTATTTCAGACCCCTGTCAGGGGAGGAGCTACCAGGGGAGTTTCATAGGGATACTGGGTCCTGCACACATACCCCCTGAGATTGGGGTCCAAGGTGTCTGCACACTCCCCCCACATGCTGCTGATGAGGGTGGCCTGCACCTGGGAAAGGGGCTGCTGCAAAAACCACTTTGGAGGGGCCGTGCAGATCCCTAGGCCTTCTGCCTCACAGGTCGGCATGGACTACAGAAGCTGCATCCTGAGGCCCGGTGGCTCAGAGGACGCCAGTGCCATGCTGAAGCGCTTCCTGGGCCGTGACCCCAAACAGGACGCCTTTCTCCTGAGCAAGGGGCTGCAGGTGGGGGGCTGTGAGCCACAGGCATGCTGACACCCCAGCTGTCAGACTGCCCTGGTCCGGCCCACATTCTGGGACCCCAAAGCCTTAGCCTCCAGCAGGACAGGGCAGGCTCCAGCACAGTGCCCAGGTAGGGCAGGTGTGCAGGGGTGGAGGACATGGCTCTCACCCCTCATGGTCCTTACGCCTCCACCAGAGGCTGCCCTGTGAGGTTTTGTGCTTGCAGCGTCTGGAGAGGTCTGGAGAGCTCTGGTGTCGCCCAGGGCCTCGTCTTTGTTGCACTAACATGTCCCCTTCCTGGGAGCATTCTTTGTTACATGTGGGTTTTGCTTTGAAATGTGGTCATTAAAAAGGAAACAAAACAAACAAAAAAAAGAAAACAAACAAACAAAAAAACAAACAGGAGAAAGGCTCCCAGCCTGGTCTGTGGCTTCTGCCCTTTCTCTCCTTGGATGGGAATATAGTGTTTCTGGTGAACACTGGACATTGTGAGGTCTTGGGCTCTGACCTGCCTGTAACCCCAGCATGAATTATGACAAGCTTGGGGCTCTAGGGAATGACTGAGCTGTTGGAGGGGGTAAAGCCCCAGGGGTTCAGAACCCCTGGAAGGGTTCCCTGTTGTGTTCAACCAGGCTGGACTGCTGGAGTGTTCTGCTTCCTGCTCACACCTCATCTGGGATTGTCCTGGAAAATATTTCGAGTCCTTCCCTCACTCCTCCCCCTCCCTATTGAGCTCTAGCACTGCAGAACCAGGTCAGAGTAGGGCCAGTTGGGTAGGCAGCTGCCCATCCGTGTTCACCAGGGGGAACACAACTTCCTGGGTGTCCGCAGGAGAGACTCAGCTCATTCTGGCTTCAGGCCCAAAGACTATGGGGGTTTACTTGACATGAGCTGGCTTCTAATTGATCAGTGAAGCTGCTAGGAGCTCTGCCATGGCCTCTGTTAGGTGACCTTGAAGACTAGGTCAGCCTTGGCCCAGAGGCTCCCAGTGCCTTGTGTCCTCCCTTGGCCCTTAGAATCATGGCAAAGTCTTGACCCAGGGGTAGGATGGACTTCCTGGATCTTCTGAAAATTCCCCCAAATGCCTCCGTAATCCTGCTTATTTGGGTCCTTGACCCCCTTAAGGAGGGGATCAGAAGGGGACAGGAGGCCTCCCTTAAGTCTAAGCACTGGCATTTCCTCCTATGCCACGAATCTTCCCCCTGAGTCTTCTGCGGAAGATGCTGGTCAGTGGAACCAGTGACATTCCTTGTTCCTAACCCATCTTCCCAAGGCCAGAGCAGCAGCCACATGGCCACCTCTGGTCATCATCTCATTTAGGATGGGATTCTTTGGGCTGTGCTGTCTGTCTCATCCCATTTTCCCTGAGCCTGTGCACCTAGCTCTGTTTCCTGTGCCCACTTCTGTCCTTTAAACTAGGGAGACAAAGGATGAATTTTCTCTTGGCAGAACTGACAGGCTCCGCACAATGCCTAGGACCAGGTGCCTGGAAGGTGGGGATTGATATCCAGAGTCATGATAGCTGTTGCTTATGCTGAAAATACCTGGGGCTTGGAAAAGGCAAGAAAATGAGAGATCACAGCAGGGCTTCCATGAGACAGATGACAGGGGCAAAGCCCCTCATTCTGGGCTCAGGGGCATCAAGTCTGGGATACCCTTGCTCTCCTTTGTGCTAAGCTCACACTTGTCCCCACCTCATCCCTGTGCAAAACTCAGATGTGCCAGAGCACTCCCCCCGCCATAGTGCTCTGGTGATTAGGGGAATGGGGTTGCAGCCTCAGGCAGATGGCCCCCTGTCCACCAGGGCTGCTGTCATTGCAGCCTCTAGGGTCCAAACAGCCCCCAGAGCTGCCCGGCCACACTCCTTTCCAGTATTCCAGCAGTGGCCTCAAGAGGATAGCCTGGTATGAGAGGCTCCTCTATCAACCCAGCTTTTCTTTCTCCCCAGTCCCCTGCTGCTCCCCTGTGAGAAAAAAAGGGCGCCTGTGTGTTTCCTGAACTTCATAATTATGAACGCATCTGTTAGGTTTTGACACAACCTGAAGGAAGAAAGGGTTTCTTCTGTAGCCACCGTACAACCCTGGGGCTGGTGGGGGTAGAGGTGGGCCTCTGGCTTTTTCCTGGGATCTCCTCCCTGGCCCAGGCCTCCCAGTTGTTCAGTTTTTATTTTCCACTCTGAGAAGAGCTGGTTCTTTCTGGTAGCTTCAGGCAGTCTCCCTCTTCTCTCCCTGGACAGTCCCCCAAATCACAGGAGGGTGATAAGGGGATGGCCATTGATGGACTCTTAACAATAGGTCTGTGACTTCAGGACCAAGCAGGCACTGCTGCATCCTTACTGCCCACGGGGTTGGCATCACTGTCCCTGTGGGTGTCTCAGGATCAGAGCCTGCATCTACTTCCCAATCAGCAATATCAGCTGAGAAGGCCATGGCCTCTGATAGCCCACATGGGGCCTCAGCATTGAGGCCCTTCTCTAGCTCAAGGAACAACATCAGTATGAAGTTCAACTTCAATGCACATATTTATGGGCATCTTGAGGGTGGGTCAAGTGCTAGGGTTGGGGGAGGGAGGCCTGGGTTCAACTCTTAGAGTAGCCGTGTTGGGGGAGGGGGCGCCCAAGTGGCTTCCTGGGTCCTAAGCTCACTGTGGCTGTGCACCAAGCCTTTCCAGGTTGCCACAGGCCAAGTCATGCTGTCCCCACCTGAACTTCCTTTTCCAGGGAGCTTCCCTTTCCCTACAAGGTCAAGAAAGCAGAGCTCAGTACCTAAGAGAGATCACCTGCAGGTGGTATGGGCCGCTCCACAACACTGTGTGGGTGAGGCTGTGACTCCTTTTGGATCATTTGAGTCAGTGCAATCTGGCCTGTAACTTTTGTTAAAACCATTAAAGAACTTTATTTTCCCTTGAACTTGAAACATAGAGCCTGTTGGAGTTAGAAGTCAAACAACACAGAGGAAGCCAGGGCTGTGGTTGAGGCCTGCCCCCCACTGTCACCCAAGTGCTGCTATCTCAGCCCACGTTGAGTACTGATCTAGTTACACAAATCAACAAATTCACATTTTTTTTGCAGGAGAATCATTTGAGCCCTAGAGTTTGAGGCTGCAGTGAGCTATAATGATGCCACTGCCCTCTAGCTGGGCAACAGTGAGACCCCATATCTCAATAAATATAATTTATCAATTAACTTATTAAATTATACATTTATCACGTTACATATTAATATAATATGTAAATTTTATATAAAAACAAATCTATAACTAATGTATTAATACATAGCTAATATGTATTAATATATTTATGTTATGCATATGAATATATTATATATGAATTTTACATGTAGTGTTAGTGTACAATTATGTATTACTAAAATACGAATCTATTACAGTATAATTTTAACTTATTAATAAAATTAATATATTTTATTAATAAAGAATAGTTACTAAAACGATTTTAACAAGTATAAGTGCGTCATATATTTATATAATTTGTTAATAAATAATGTTTAATGGCAAGCCTTTGTGTGTTAGGTCTCTTGCTAAATATATGAAGCGTTTTTTCCCCTATTTTCTACAGCAGCCGATGGAACTGGGTTCACCGCTGCACGGTTGGCAGTCGCGGCCCCCGGGGGGATAGCCGGGCTATGAACGGGCTGAGAAGCTGGTTACTAGCCGAATAGCGGAGTTAGGATTAAGGTTCTGCGGACTTCGAGAGCCTCCAGCTGAGGCCAGCGCAGGGGAGGGCTGCACTCACTGGGCGGGGTCAGGCAGTTCTACGAAGACACCTCCCGTGCGGAGGGGGCGCTGTGACACCTTGGTATCCCGGACTCTTGACAGTCCAGCGACCCGCCCCGGGGCATGAAGGGACTTGTAGTTCGCAGGCTCGTGGTGCGCAGGCGTGATGCGGATCCGCGGCCACGCGCGTCCGCGGGCGACGGCAGAAATTCATGAGGGGGGCGGGGGCCATCAGCTCCGAGAGCACCGAGGGGCAAAACAGATCTGGGGGTCGCAGGACCTGCGCGGGCCGCTTCCGCCGCGGGGGAGCTGCGCGGCTTCTAGCCGCGCGCTCTCAGGGTCACCTGCGCCCACGTGGGGCCCGCACTGCCGTAAGTGGCTGGGCCGGGCTCAGGTGGGGCAGGGCCGGGCCTGGCAGTACACGGTGGCGGGTATGGCCGTCGGAACTCCCCTGTGAGGTCGGAGGCTACATGGGAGAGGCCAGCAGGTTCACGCAAGACCTCCCGGTCCTGGCTGGCCAAGTCCGACCTTTCCCCTGTGAAAAAAAACCTGAACAAGAAGCCCGTGATGACTTTTTACTAACGGCATAAGGCTCTTCTGGCCAAACCTGAAAGGAAACAGGAGAAAACTTGTTTACTTTTATCATAAAAGCAAAAAGTGACCAGAATGCCTGGGCTTCGATGTAGATTGAGTTAGGCTCTTTTTTGGGCTAGATCAGGGTTTCTGAAGTGGGGATGATCTGTCTCCAGAGGCCACTGGGAGATGTTTGGGGACACGGGTGATTGTCACAACTTGGAGTGAGCTGCTGACATGGAATGGATGGAGGCCAGAGGGACGCTGCTCAGCACCCTGAAGTGCCTAGGACGGCCCCACCACAAAGAATGATCCCACCCCAATGTCCACAGTGTCCAGGGGGAGAGACCTGGCTTATGGCTTAGCATTGTGGCCCTGGTGGTAAGGTATCCAGGGTCCCTTCTGTTTATGTCCATGCCTGCTGAGGAATGAGGAGGCAGCCAACCATTCTGCTATTCTCCCAACACCAAAGTTCCCTGGCTTCCCTGTCCCCTGGGCATTATTTCATTTTTCTCTGCAAGGAAGTCCTCACCAGGCCTTTCTTGCACATCAAGGGTGAGTCTCAGGGATTGGACCTTGTCATGAATGCACCTGGTCCAGGTGCCACAGGTCTGGGTGAATGAGGGGGTCTAACAAGGGTTGCTTTTGTCAACCATGAGGTTAGAGGGTCCCATGTACCATGGGAGGATGGGTGACAAATGGTCTGTAGAAATTTAGGGGCTAGTCCTGTATCTTTTGCCATGGGCTGCAATTTAGCATCCCAGGAGCAAAGAGGAAGCCTCTTCAAGTGGGAGGCCGAAGGAAGCCTATCAGGTTGTAAATCCCCAAAGGCACTTGCAAGGCATTCCCTGGAGGAAGCTCCTCAGTTGCAAGACTAAGGGGTGTGCAAGAAATGCTGTGTCTCCATTTGCCTTTGGTCCTTGCATGAGTTTCCTGGGGCTGCTGTCGCACATACCACACACCGGATGGCTAAAAACAATATAGATTTATTCTCTTACAGGTTTGGAGGCCGGAAGTCCAAAATCAAGGTGGTGTGGCAAGGTTGTGCTACCTCTGAAATCTCTAGGGAAGGATTCTTCTTGCCTCTTCCAGCTTCTTGTAGAGACTGGCAATCCCTGACATTTCTTAGCTTACAGTTGCCATTGGCCAGGCTCTAATCTCTGCCTTCGTTGTCACATGATCTTCCCTGTGTGTCTTTCTCTTTTATAAGGATGCCAGTCATGCCACCAGAAGTTAAGAGAGTTGGGAAAGAACCTCCCCTTGTGTCAGAAGGTACATGATCCTGCCATTGCCCTTATCTCAGACTTCTGTTTGTGGTTCCTTGTTAAAGCAGCCACAGGAAACTTACACAGAGTGCTTCACTTCACCATAGAGCATGTTTGCTTTTTTTTTTTTTAAGTCTCAATCTGTGGGAGGGTGCCATAGCATCATAGCTCACAGATACCTCAAATTCTTGGGCTTAAGCAATCCCAATCCTCATGCCTCACCCTCCCAAGTAGTTGGAACTACAGGCACATGCCACAATGCCCAACTAATTTTTCTATTTTTAGTAGAGACAAGGTCTCATTTATGCTCAGACTGGTCTCGAACTCCTCAGGTCAACCAGTCCATCCTCCTTGACCTCCCAGAGTTCAAGGATTACAGGTCTGAGCCACTGCGTGCAACTGAGCACATTCACTTTGTAAACTTCAGTAGTTGGTTGCCTCCAAAATCTTTAATATCTTTATCCATACGATGGAGCTTTTAAGATCTCTGGCTTCAGTCCTGATTTCAGTTTACCTCCCTCTGCATATGGGTGGATGCTGGGGTCTCTAGAGCAAGGATTCCAGAATCCTCAGGGGATGGTCCTGAGTCTGATCTTCATAGCACCTTTGTCTTTCCTGCAGCTCTGCTGGCTCAGGAACCCTCATTTTCCCAGGAGGAGAGAATGGCTTCTGGGTACCTGCCCCCCTGGTCTCAGGTGAGACATTCTCCTTCTCCTAAAAGGCACCTGGCATATTTGGAGGGAACAAAGTCATCAGAAAGTCACTGATAGAGAAGGAACCCCCTTCCTATGTGGGAAATACTGGAGAGTTGCCCATGACTGTTTGGTCCCAGTACCCAAGCTTCTCCTAAGTGTGCAGACAGGGGAAAGGAGGGATCTAGTACCTTGTCATGTAGAACAGAGAGCTGCACAGAAAAGCACGCTTTCTATTGGGGGTAGGGTAGTGTGGACAAGCTGTCTCTCTCCTGAGAAAGACAGACGCAAGCAGGGCCCTTACGTTTTTGTTTTTTGAGACAGAGTCTCACTTTGTTGCCCCCAGTAAAGTGCTGTGGTGTCATAGCTCACAGCAACCCTAAACTCCTGGGCTTAAGCAATTCTCTTGCCTCAGCCTCCCGAGTAGCTGGGACTACAGACACCCACCACAACACGCGGCTTTTCTAAAGGCAGAGACTCGCTGTAGCTCAGGCTGGTCACAAACTCGGTTGTTTTTTTCTGTTTTGTTTGTTTTTTTTAAAATAGAGTCTGACTTTGTTGCCCTCTGTAGAATACTGTACTGTCATAGCTCACAGCAACCTCAAACTCTGGGGCTCAAGTGATTCTCTTGCCTCAGCCTCCCAAGTAGCTGAGACTACAGGTGCCCACCACAGCACTGCTATTTTTAGAGATAGGGGTCTCACTCTGGCGCAGTCCTCCTAGAGCTGCTAGGATTACAGGTGTGAGCCACCACACCCAGCCTAAGGCCCTTATGTTTTACCCTCTCTCTCTTTTTTTTTTTCCTGAGACAGAGTCTCTCTATCATTCTATCACTCAGGCTGAAAAGCAGTGGCATTATCATAGCTCACTATAGCAAATTCCTGGACTCAAGTGATCCTCTTGACCGAGCTAGTCTTGACTGAGCTAGACTGAGCCTCTTGAGTAGCTGGGAATATAGACACACACCACCACGCCTGGCTAATTTTTCTATTTTTTTGTAAAGATAGGGTCACATGATTTTGCCCAGACTACTCTTGAACTCCCAGGCTTAAGTCATCTCCCTGCCTCAGTCTCCCAAAGTGCTGGGATTATAGGCATGAGCTACCACACCTGGCTGTAGCAGCAAGAGGTTGTCAAGTGCAAATGTCATATTCATAGATCTAGAATTATAGATCTATGTCATATTCATAGATCTTAGAATAACTAGTTCAATAAAAAATGTCAAAGTGTTTAATTCAAACCTGTGTGCAAGTCCTCCTTGCTGTGTTTATAGTGGGGCTACAATCTATATGGTCCCCTGATTGTAAGCCACAGACAAGTATCCACAAGGTTGCTGGTAGAACCTGACTTTAGCACTTTGTATTCTGAACTACCCTGGTGCCACAATCTGCACCCTTCCTCCTGTGAATGTGTGTGGAATGGATGCATCTTTAACAGAACTGCTGTGATATTTTAGGAATCAGTGACCTTCAAGGATGTGGCCATGGACTTCTCTCAAGAGGAATGGGAGCTCCTGGACCCTGCTCAGAGGAACCTGTACAGAGAGGTGATGTTGGAGAACTATAGGAACCTTGTCTCCCTGGGTAAGATAAGCACCATAAATTCACATGCTTGTTGAATTCTAGCATCTACCATTCGTCAGGCACAATACTAGGACTTTGGGATTTATCAGTAAGCAAGAAAGATGTGGTTCCTGGCCTGTGGCTTTCCCAGTCTCCTGGTTTCTCTGACAGATCAGAGGGATATGTGGTAGCTAGAGAGGCTATTGAATCGCATGTCTGAGCTGAGTCATAAGTAACTTCTCTAATTCCTCTTGGATACAGAGTCGGAGCATTTATTCTCTTTCTGCCAAGGTGAAGAGGCATACTTTTAAAAAATTTTTTTATTTTTGTACATTTATATTGTGATATAACCAGCACAACTATCCATTAAGAGAAATTTTTTATCATCCTAAACTAAAACTCTATACCTGTTAAACACTCATCTCCCATCTTGCCACCTCTCTTCCACTCCTGAAAACCATTAATCCACTTTCAATCTCTGTTTATTTGCCTGTTCTGGACATTTCATGTAAATGGAATCATCCAATACATGACCTTTTGTGTCTCGCTTCCTTCACGAGCATGGTGTTTTCCAGATTCATCTACAGTATAGCATGTGTCAGAGGTTCATTTGTGGATGAAAAGGATTCCGTTCTATGTGTATAATACATTTTGTTTATTCTCCCATTGATGGACAGTGGTTTCTACCTTTTGGCTATTGTAAATAATGCTACTGTGAACATTAACAAATAAGTATCTTTTTCACTCCCTGTTTTCAGTCCTTGAGTAAATACCTGAGAGTGGAATTGCTGGGCCGTATGGCAATTCGGTGTTAGAATTTAGCTTTTTGAGAAACTGCCATGCTGTTTTACATAGTAAGCTATGTACAGTTTCCATTCCCACCAGCAGTGTAAAGTGTTCTAATTTCTCCACATCCTTGCCAACAGTTATTATTTTTTTTTTTTTGGAGACAGAGCCTCAAGCTATCACCCTGGGTGGGGTGCTGTGCCATCATGGCTCACAGCAATCTTCAACTCCTGTGCTCAAGCAATTCTCTTGCCTCAGCCTCCCCCAAGTAGCTGGGACTATAGGCACCTACCACAATGCCCAGCTATTTTTTGGTTGTAGTTGTCATTGTTGTTTGGTGGGCTGGGACTGGATTTGAACATGCCAGCTCTGGTGTATGTGGCTGGTGCCTTAGCCACTTGAGCTACAGGCACTGAGCCAGTTTTTTTTGTTTTTTGGTTTTTTTTTTAAGAGACAGAGTCTCAGTTTGTCACCCTCAGTAGAGTGCTGTGGCATCACAGCTCACAGCAACCTCTAGCTCTTAGACTTAGGTGATTCTCTTGCTTGAGCCTCCCAAGTAGCTGGGACTACAGGCGCCCACCGCAACACCCAGTTATTTTCTTGTAGGGTTAAACTAAGGTGACCAGACGTCCTGCTTTTGGTGGGACAGTCCCGATTTGTCCCACATTTGTCCCACATCCTGCGGCATTTTAAAAAAGTCCCAATTTTTGGAAAGAATGCACAACAAGCTAGGGAACAGCGGGACAATGGGAAGGGAATATACGGGTTTCGGCTGCTGAAAAGGTTAATGTAACTCCATTTGGGAATGAAGAGGTTAATGTAACTTCATTTGGAAATGAAAAGGCTACTGTAAACTCCCTACTCCCCTCCTGTGCAAAGTTGCCCAGGTGGACCGGCGCCCTACTCCTTTGAGCCACAGGCGCCGCCCTATACATAATTTTTTTTAATATATTATATTTGTAAATTATACTTACGTTGAAATTAAAAATATATATTACAAAATATACTATTTTTTCCCTCTATGAAAATTTTTGTTGCTCCACATAGACCAAATTTTTAATTAAGAACCCCCCACCCCCACCCCCACCCCGCCGCGGTCAATGGTGTTCTGCTTTACCGATGTTAAAATCTGGTCACCTTAGGTTAAACCCACCATCCTCATATATGGGACTGATGCCCTACTCACTGAACCACAGGCACCACACCAGTTTTTTTTTTCTTTTGAGACAGAGCCTCAAGCTGTCACTCTAGGTAGAGTGCCGTGGCATCACAGCTCACAGCAGCCTCCAACTCCTGGGCTCAAGCGA